CAGCACACGCTGCATTCATTATACACACTCTTCACTCACTACAAACACACTACATTCACTATACACACTCTGCATTCATTATACACATTCTGCACTCACTACACACTACATTCACTATACACACTCTGCATTCACTACAAACACACTACACACACTGCATTCATTGTACACACTCTGCACTCACTATAAACACACTAAATTTATTATACACAATTTGCACTTACTACAAACACACTACATTCATTATACACACTCTGCACTCACTACAAACACACTACATTCACTATACACACTGCACTCACTACAAACACACTACATTTATTATACACACTGCACTCACTACAAATACACTACATTCATTATACACACTCTGCACTCACTAAAAACACACTGCATTCATTATACACACTCTGCACTCACTACAAATACACTACAATTATTATTCACACTGCACTCACTGCAAACACACTACATTTATTATTCATACTCTGCATTCACTACAAGCACACTACCTTAATTATACACACCCTGCACTGCAATATATGCATAGGAGTGTAATTTAAAAAAAAAATTTTTAAGGGGGTGGGGAGGCGGGAATCCTGGGTGAGTTCCCACACCTTTTTCCCCAGGACTTGACCCCTGGTATATCTCGAATATGTCTTAGTTCTCTCTGTCTGTCTATGGTTTTTTTTTCATTCCTCTTATTGTTTTGCATGTCCCTTATCTGTACTATTCAGTGTCCTACTTTTGTATTTGGTCTATGGTCAGTATTTCCATATTTAAGTTTTCTGTTGTTTCCAGGCCTTGAGTTTCTTACATATTTCCTATCATTCCATATGATTGCAAAGTTTACGTATAGTCCCTTGTCTGTATGTGTTTGGAAGGAACAGAGAGATCAATAGTTCACTCCTCGGTCTCTGCTCCTCTGCTATTTTGTGCCGCTACCTGGCTGAGCTGTCACAGCCTGGGCTGAGCAGTTTGTCTTGCTCTGCCATAGCGCTTCCCTATTGGGTGGGAGCCAGGGAACTTTGCCTTGCGCTGTTTTTGTGTGGGCAGTGGCCCTATATAAGAGGCAGTCTGTGAGATAAATAGGACACTCAGTTTTTCCTTCTCCTCCCCTTTTTCTTCTTACTACTTGGGTAGTTTTTGATGGGTTAACCCCTTCCTGAGTGTATTCCCTAAGCTTCCATCTCCTCATTTTTGTTCTTCTAAGTCTCAAAGACCGCCCAAAAAATAAAAATAAAGTTTATGCAGCTTGCCTCTTTCCCACCCTTTATGCAAATTAACTTTAATTACGTTGTGGTCTTTATTTGGAATGTTCATTTGCCTGCCTAGATAAATGGGGGGTAAAAATTATAGATGGTGTTATACTGGCTATTAAAAATCCACAATGCTGTGTTTTCCCCTGGGTGTTAAATGCCAGGGATATGTTACAAGTTATATGATTAGTTATACAGTTGTGTTGTAAATAATTTTTTTTAAATTAAAAATGTTTTTAAATTCCTTACAGTAAAACCTATGGCCTTTCTCCAAACATTTGTTTCCGTGTTTCTGTATTTTATTAATACTGGTTTAAGTTTCCTTTCCATAACACATAACAATCCATACCGTGCTTATTTCTGTCCTTTATTCGGTTTCTGGTCTCTGCTATACTTTTCTTGAACTCTTGACAAGTTCACGTAACAACTGCCTTTCGTTCTAACACATTGTTTCAGGTGTAGCTGAGCAGTTTGCTATTGCAGAAGCAAAGCTCCGTGCCTGGTCTTCAGTTGAGGGTGACGATTCGACAGATGATTCGTATGATGAAGATATGTTGCCACCAATGGATCCATCCCAGCCTACAGGTAAATGTGGGACATATATGTGACATGCAAGTAGATCTCCTGAGGAAGGAGAGCAAGATATTAAACTGGGCTAGGCAAGTTTCCAACAACGTCAGGAAGCTTTGCATGCTAAAAGAGGCCTTGGAATGGGAAGCTGGTTCTATGGACCTGAAGGAGGAAAAACACCCTTTAGACAAGGACATTGAATGCTGGGTATAAAGTAAAAATAAGATCAATTGGTTAGGTCAAATAGATTTATGATGGAAAATAAATGGTCATTGGAAAGTAAGTAAACTGGAAAGAATGAAGCTTAAAGGATCACTATAGGGTCAGGAAAACAAACATGTACAGGGAGTGCAGAATTATTAGGCAAATGAGTATTTTGACCACATTATCCTCTTTATGCATGTTGTCTTACTCCAAGCTGTATAGGCTCGAAAGCCTACTACCAATTAAGCATATTAGGTGATGTGCATCTCTGTAATGAGAAGAGGTGTGGTCTAATGACATCAACACCCTATATCAGGTGTGCATAATTATTAGGCAATTTCCTTTCCTTTGTCAAAATGGGTCAAAAGAAGGACTTGACAGGCTCAGAAAAGTCAAAAATAGTGAGATATCTTGCAGAGGGATGCAGCACTCTTAAAATTGCAAAGCTTCTGAAGCGTGATCATCGAACAATCAAGCGCTTCATTCAAAATAGTCAACAGAGTCGCAAGAAGCGTGTGGAAAAACCAAGGCGCAAAATAACTGCCCATGAACTGAGAAAAGTCAAGCGTGCAGCTGCCACAATGCCACTTGCCACCAGTTTGGCCATATTTCAGAGCTGAAACATCACTGGAGTGCCCAAAAGCACAAGGTGTGCAATACTCAGAGACATGGCCAAGGTAAGAAAGGCTGAAAGACTACCACCACTGAACAAGACACACAAGCTGAAACGTCAAGACTGGGCCAAGAAATATCTCAAGACTGATTTTTCTAAGGTTTTATGGACTGATGAAATGAGAGTGAGTCTTGATGGGCCAGATGGATGGGCCCGTGGCTGGATTGGTAAAGGGCAGAGAGCTCCAGTCCCACTCAGACGCCAGCAAGGTGGAGGTGGAGTACTGGTTTGGGCTGGTATCATCAAAGATGAGCTTGTGGGGCCTTTTCGGGTTGAGGATGGAGTCAGCTCAACTCCCAGTCCTACTGCCAGTTCCTGGAAGACACCTTCTTCAAGCAGTGGTACAGGAAGAAGTCTGCATCCTTCAAGAAAAACATGATTTTCATGCAGGACAATGCTCCATCACACGCGTCCAAGTACTCCACAGCGTGGCTGGCAAGAAAGGGTATAAAAGAAGAAAAATCTAATGACATGGCCTCCTTGTTCACCTGATCTGAACCCCATTGAGAACCTGTGGTCCATCATCAAATGTGAGATTTACAAGGAGGGAAAACAGTACACCTCTCTGAACAGTGTATGGGAGGCTGTGGTTGCTGCTGCACGCAATGTTGATGGTGAACAGATCAAAAACACTGACAGAATCCATGGATGGCAGGCTTTTGAGTGTCCTTGCAAAGAAAGGTGGCTATATTGGTCACTGATTTGTTTTTGTTTTGTTTTTGAATGTCAGAAATTTATATTTGTGAATGTTGAGATGTTATATTGGTTTCACTGGTAATAATAAATAATTAAAATGGGTATATATTTGTTTTTTGATAAGTTGCCTAATAATTATGCACAGTAATAGTCACCTGCACACACAGATATCCCCTAACATAGCTATAACTAAAAACAAACTAAAAACTACTTCCAAAAATATTCAGCTTTGATATTAATGAGTTTTTTGGGTTCATTGAGAACATGGTTGTTGTTCAATAATAAAATTTATCCTCAAAAATACAACTTGCCTAATAATTCTGCACTCCCTGTATTTCTGACCCTATAGTGTTAAAACCGCCATCTAGCCCCCCTGGGCCCCTCATGCCTCCATAAATGTAGCAACATCTTACTGTATTCAATCTAGAAGCTGTATGTGCATGCTGTTTGCCTCAGAAAATCAAGTAGTCTGCTGACATAATCAGAAGTGGTAGCCTGATCCAATCACAATGCTTCTCCATAGGATTGGCTGAGACTGACAAAGAGGCAGATCAGGGGCAGAGCCAGCATGATTCAAACACAGCCCTGGCCAATCAGCATCTCCTCATAGAGATGCATTGAATCAATGAATCTCTTTGATGAAAGTTCAGTGTCAGCATGCAGAGGGTGCAGACACTGAATGTTTGGATGCATTTTAGGCAGCCATGACACAGGAAGGATCTCTAGCAGCATTCTGAAGAGTGGCCAGTGAAGTTATCACTAGGCTGTAATGTAAACACTGCATTTTCTCTGAAAAGACAGTGTTTACAGCAAAAAGACTGAAGGTAATGATTCTACTCACCAGAACAAATTCAAGAAGCTGTAGTTGTTCTGGTGACTATAGTGTCCCTTTAATAAATGTCTGGAACCTTTGCACAATAAAAGGGACTGTGACAGGGAGATGTAGCTGAATCTCTGATGCTTCAGAGGAGAGTAAGGAAATAGAAGGAGACTAGGGTGAACAAAGAAAGTTATGGAAGGAAAGGAGGAGGAGAGGGAAAAATATTTTATAGATTATAGAAGGTAAGACGGGTTAGAAGTAAGG